GAGACTGGTACGATCTCCCGGCTATCGTCTCCATTTTTCTTGCTGTTTTTGTTGTTATTTTGTTGTTTTTGTTGAAACGACTCGCTACTCGCTTGTGATTGGCAAGCTGTCAAAAAGGCGGTTGACGTAAGGTGTTTTTTTTGAGAAAAGTTGAACTTTTTTTCATCTTGAAAAGACACTCTGAGCTGCAGAAAAAGACATTGGCGGTGGCTTTTAAAAAAGCGCTCAGGACTTTTTTGAAAACACTGTTGACTCATAGGATTATAATGTAAAACAGATGCTGGCAGCTTCAAAAAAGACGCCAAGTGTGAACATAGCTTCTTTCACTTCTTTCACGGCATGATTCAGTCTGTTAAAATGCATTTAGAATGATCACAAATTCAAGAAGAAAATGTAAGAAAATGTATATATCATTTCATATAGTAAATCAATATCACATGAAGAGTGACGGTTTTCCTCCAAATATCAGTATGATTACTAATAGATTTTTTTTTACAACAGTTCGATAAACAAGAAGTTAATTAAGAGACTTGCATTTTAGACACCATATTGCCTGTTTTTGCTCTATTTCTACAACAAAAATAATTCCAAACACAGCCACCATAGCACAGTTTTGCGTCTCTGAGCAACATGTCGGTGTTTCGTTCCTGAATGAATCAACTGTTTGAATGATTCAGTTCAATAGCAATGACTCACTTATTAACAGTGACTTGCTGACACCTACTGGCCATTTTAATTTCACATTTAAAGTGTCTTTAGATTTTTTTTTTTGGAGTAATGAGTATTCAACATTTTATATCTTGTATATCAAAACATTATTTCTGCATTTGTACCTGCAGGTTAAATGCATTCCTGTCCTGCATTAAACAGTGTGTAAATACATCTAAATGCCACTTCCGATGAATCACTCAAAAGATAATGGACACTTTTAGAAAAAATGGCTTTATAAAGGTAAAAATGCCCATAAAATGTAAAAAAGTTATTGGAAAAGATTAATTTCTCTGTGTGAACTGACCAGCACACAGAATATGAAGAATATCAAAAACTTTAGGAGTCAGCTGTCCTTAAGGTACCAGCACAATAACACACTCAACAAAATATTGTCTAATTATTGTTATTGATAAACTCCCAGAAAATATTGAGATATTATATTTGTCAATATCGCACACCCCTAATATATATATATATATATATATATATATATATGTTAGGGGTGTAACGGTACACGTATTCGTACCGAACCGTTTCGGTACGGGTCTTTCGGTTCGGTACGCATGTGAACC